ATATATAAATATGTATATATGTATGTATGTAAGTATGTATATATATACATACATATATATATATGTATAAATATATATAATGTGGGCAACATGCATGTAGATTTTGTATTGCTGTTTTACTTGTTTATGAGCTAATTCTACCAGGTTTCACTATGGACGTGTTTTCTTTCAAATTAAAAATACATTTGTACGTTCATATTTGCTTGATTTTGCCACTGGATTTGAACAAAATACATATTTTTGGGTATTCGACTAAATATCTAAATATCAAGCAAAATCAGAAAATCCACAGTTTTAGTTTGTTTATTAATATTACTGTTTAATTACAAATTGAACAAGTGTGCTTAACATGCATTGTCTACTGGAGTACGGCGATCTCTAGAAGTAACTGGCTTGATATCTCTCTTGTAGTGCATACCAAGAAGAAGTTCATACAAAAATGAACCTATCGGTCCACCAATCATGGGTGCGACAATAGGAATCCAAAAGTAATAATCATCCCAGGTGAATGGATCTGTGCCCCACCCGCACATCATCGCGACCAAACGTGGTCCAAGATCTCTCGCAGGGTTAATAGCATAGCCAGAATTAAATCCAAACGACATACCAATTATAACCACCACACCACCTACCATAATCGGGGTGAGCCAATCGGGCATTGTGGGCGTTTTCGATCTGACCTCTGACACTGTGAGAATGCCCGCCATAAGGAGAGCCGTGCCGACTACTTCTGTCCAGAAACAATTCAAATTTGTCGCGTTGGCTGCAGGATAAGTTGAGAAAACACCTGCAGTCTCCTGTGTGTAATAAGAGTCGTCTTTTCCTGGGAAGTAAACTGACCATACTAGCACTGCGCCCACGAATGCCCCGAATAACTGTGATATCATATATGGGATAACCTTTTTCCACGGGAACTGTCTCAATAGTGCGAACGAGAATGTGACAGCAGGGTTCAGATGCGATAGACTCGTGCCTTTCGACACATATATTCCCGCAGTAACCGCCATTCCCCAGGTGAGAGCAATATTTGTGTAATTTCCCGCGCCACCATCCGAGATGACGATTTGTCCCACTACACCATCACCAAAGGCAACCAGTGTCATTGTACCGAGTATTTCTCCTATGCACTCCCTCCATAAAGGAACATCGAAATACTCCTCGCATGTAGCCTTCTCTGAGTCGGTATCGTAATTAGGATCATCTGCCATGGCGCTATCGATGTTCACTCGATGTGTATCGTCATTGTTTGGCGTATGATGATCCGCATTTATCTTCTTCTCAGACTTCTTCCTCTCCTTGTCGGCTGAAGATGAACCCATCATCGCGAGTTCAGAATTCGCGTTGTCAATTTCGCTCACCATGACTTTTTATTTAGTGTCTGTAAATAAATGTAAATAAATGTAGACAGTAGTGATGACAATCGTGAAATGTATTGCCTATTTATCGCCTTTTTTTTCTATTAACGACGGCCGGGTTCGAGCTGTTGAAACCATTTGTTTATTTAAAAAATAAAAGTAGCCTCTCTCTCTCTCTCCCTAATCCTATATTCCTCTCTCTCGTTCTCTTTCAGTCTCTCTCACTCGCTGTCTCCCTACTATTTACTCTGTCTCTGAAATGAGAAACGAGAGAAACAAGTAAATATTAATTTAAATATTAAAAAAAAACAATATTTATAATAAACAAAAATATATAAATATAATATATAAATACAGCGGACAGTCACGCGACATTCGTCGGACTCGTCGGGTCGATCTCTCGCTTTTTCTTCTTCTTACACTGTCTGTACTCTGTAGACTGGAGCAGAGTGAGCATGGAGAGGAAAACTCTAGGAAGATATATTTTGTTTTTATAAAAAAGATTCTGTCACAGTGCGTATGTATTTCAATTTTGAGTTTTCACACCACTCACAAAGTCATGAGTCACGACTCACGAGTGATGTATATTTGATATTAATATTTTTTCAAAAAACCAATGTGTGTAGTGTAAACACAGAATGAGGAATTATTTTGGCCTTCAGTGACTTCAGAAGTTCAGAATATAAATAAATACATAAATATTGTATCCAAAATAATTGCGCAACTCCGGAAGTCCGGAACGGTGTATCGCCCCTTTGTCTCATAAGCGAGTCATTTTTTATATTAGAATTTATATTTATGTAAACTTTGAATGTGGCCATGCCATTGGATTAAGCTTTTTAAAATTTAAAAAAAAGCCAGCTGAAAATCAATTCGGAAACGAAGAATTGGACTGTCGGAGGAGGGCGGAATTTGCTTGATTCTGGTTCCGCAACGGATCTTAATTTTGTCATCTCACGACGCCAGACTCCAGAATCCAGAGTGACAGACTTTACCCTAAAAATAAATAAAACATACCTGTCCACAGTCCTCACTCTCGAGTCCTCACTCCTCAGTCACAGGACACAGAACTCCAGGACTCCAGAACACAGTGTATCAAGCTGTCGCTTTTTGTACCACAAATCTTCCATACATAAATACATTCTGGGGACTGGGGGTTTTGTTCTTTGGTTTAGAAAAAATAAAAATCCCCAAATTTAACAAGAAATGGTCACCTGACCCTGTGCCAATGTAGCGTCTAAACACTGTAAGTATAAGCACAAAGCAGCGAGGACTGAGACCTAACGTCCTATTAGGCATAAAACATGACCGTAAACGTATACTTTTATGATTTATAAACTATAGACAGTTTATTGAGGGCAAATTTACAAGCGAAATTCCAGTGTATTGCGCTTCGAATTTTGACCTATTTAAAAACGAAATAGGCGAGCTAGAATCTGCCACACAACTTTTAACTGTCCCAGTGGCGTGGCCTTTCAGGCTCCAACTTAACGAAATGGCGCAAGGACAAACTGTGGCACCTAGAAACTGCACCCCATTGCAAAGTAGTAGGGTTTATTATATGATGTAATATGTTCTTTTTAGGAGGCTATGACCCTAACGTCTATTATTTTAGCTTTTTGTTTTAAAACAAAATAGAAAAATAGACGGTCAACCGGAAGACGTTTTGAGGCTAGACACTCAAGAGTCAGCACTCAGTAGACAGTAGAATGGTCAGACTGTGGAGAGTGGACTCTCTGGAGTACTGTGAGGCACTCGAGAGTTGAGACTGCAGTTGATCCAAAAACATGGTATGTAAAAGTAATATATTCGATTCAGAGCCAATAAAAATTAATCTGCAAGATCATGTGCTTCATTTACAAAGACAACTATAACTATATGAATAAAACATCCAGTGGTTTTATAGGTCGAAAACCGACTGGACATATATGGAAGTTGGAATTTGGACCTTGAAATTTTTTTAAATACTGTAACGACAATGTGAAAGAAAATGATTGTTGCGCCTCGATAAACTTCAATAGCCCTGAGAAATTTTGATCTGAAATTTAGACAGTTTGTTCGTATATTCCGCTACAACGGGCCATAAAACTTAAAAAAGCCATTCACGTGTGGTGACGTGCGTGTATGACACAATGACATTGTTACTAAATATAACACTGTGTGAGTGTGTGACTGTGGTGATGTGGTCTGTGGGTATGATTGTGAGTATGTCGTAGACTGTAGAGTTGAAATTAAATTTTTTTAAATTATAAAAGTTGCAACTCAGAGTCTCAGAGTCTTCGGTCACGGAGAGTCGGAGACACGGACACTCCTAACGTTAAAACTCCGACAGGCATAAATTATAAAAGCCATAAAAAATAAATGAAATTATGAAAGTTTGTATGTTTGTAAATATGTTTTTTTTATTAAAACAATCCTAAATACATAAAATGTAAATATGAGCTATGACGTATGTACATACATGTCTTATTTTTTTTATAAAATACATACATATTTACCTTTTCGAATTGTATGTATTTTTATCAAGGCCCTGGATGAAAAATTGGAGTCATGAGAGAAAATCCTTTTTTTCTTCACTAGAGCCTCTGGTATAAGACATTTACATTTCGTTTTGACGATGTCCAAAGTCCGTTGGAAACTATTTTCTATATTTAACTACGGTCAGAGGTCTGAGACTGATGATATCCATCATGATACTGACCTGATAGAGCTGCGGGCCGAAAACTAGTTTGTAATGGTAGTTTAATAATTAAAACATTTAAAAAAAAAATCTTTATATGAGGTTTTTAAAGATATTTAATTTTAGAACACCAAGTTTTTTTATCCAAAAATAACAAATAGCAATATTTTTTGATTTTTTTAACTATATATATATATATATATATATTCATATATATATAAATAATAGTTGTATGTATGCAACGT